TGTGTAAGTTAGAGAAGAACAGAAAAAACTAGATATTTTTTTAGTGAGGACGCCATAGTTCACGCAGCGTGGTGTATGCTACAGGGTCAAGGAAAAAGAAACGCTTCGGAAATACTTCGAGATATTAAAAATTCTCCAACACGTGGAGGAAAATACAGACACAGACTATAATACGTGTCTGAGCCCGTTTGTTTCTCTTAGAATTACTTGTAGAAAGGAAGAAAAAAAAAATTATATGGCAAAACCCTACACCGTCATCGTCTATATATTGTAGACAAATTAGGTGGTTTGCTAAAGAATCTGTGGATGTAAAGCGCCCAATATACTATATTAGCATGATGGCGCAATCACCTGATGGTGCCAACAAGCTTGAAACATACACTACTGCAATATTAATTTTTTTTACAAATTGTATGAATATGGAAAAGATTGTAAGGGACGGAGATAAAAAAATTAAAAAAGCGTGTTTGGATTAAAGATTGCTTATAAGACAAACATGAATTAGGCAATACTAAACTTTTAAGACGGTTGGAAACCAACGCCAAAAAGGATTTCCTTAATTTTGTGAGGATGGAAGAAAATCAGTTTTCTCCGTACTCTTAATTCTCCACAGGCACGGGATTGATTCATATAGATCAATAAATTCTCCCCAAAATAGTTTTCCCTTTGAATTCATATGTATCTGCGATGTTCAATTTTTGAATTCTACTTAAATGCGGTAAATTCACAATACATTGCACTAGCATGCTTCTGCAATCAGAAAAATATCGAACTCGTTTTGTTTTTTTGCTCCAGCAGATGGTGCCATCACACCACAAGTACATACACTATCAATAGGGTGGGTCGATTCCGGACTTTTTCGATTCGGGATTTCTATTGAAATTTCGGAAATTCGCCTAAAATCGTGATATTTTCTACCTAGCGCCTGAAATACGCATGTCATGGCAAAATGAATAAGACAAAAATTATTTGTCACGTCATTTGCTACCGAAATGGTATGTGATCATGGCCGTAGGACGCACCGTTCCCGAGATACGAACGAAAATGCGGCGCGCCACAGCGCAAAGTGCAAATCGGCTTGCGGCCACACTTCTTGACGTTGATTTCGCCGAGTGCTATCACTCACATTCATTCACCTACGCCAAAGGACACGTTCGGACTGGTCTCCACATAAACATTTTTTCATCGAGTTCCTTCACTCTTGTCGTTGATTTCGCCGAGTGCTATTACTTATATTCTCTCAACAGAACACAGAACTCAAAATGTCTGTATCTAAATATCAATTTAGACAGAAATGYCCTGTGTTTGGCATATATCCGTACAATCTCTCTGAGTCCCAGTTACCTACTTACCAGGCGGTTCTTTTGTGTTATCAGTTTGAAAGATTTCGTATAGGGCGACTCCGAGATGACAACTATGAACCTAGGAGTAAAGAGGTTACAGAAATAGTTGCAAAAAAGGTTGAAAATACTTTCAAAAAGTCATCTATTCCGATAATTTCAGACACCAGAGTTGTACAAATGCTCACCACATACCATAAAAAATTTCTGACTCTTAAGCAAATGTTTTTAAGGAACCAAATAGGTTTGAGCTCTAAAAGAGACGACTTTGTCTCTTCTGCCGGAAAATTATTTGACATCGCTGCTTGTAAACGCATTTATTTTTCTTCTTGCACTTGTCCAAAGGAAAGGAAAGTTCCTGTCAATGAACAACCATTTCTCTTGGACCAGAAAACCAGAAGAATAGGTCGCATTATAAGTGTTGATCTACCTTCAACAAAAAAGACTACAAAGAAAAATGAACGTAAAGAAAAGCTTTCAAAACTTCGTTCAACATCAACACTTACCAGAAAAGTATCAGCTAGAACACTTGACCATTCAGATCAGCCAGACTCTCATACAGACGACAAAAATGTAGGTGCGTCGCAAATGGATTCTTCCAAAAACGATGCTGATGATGARTTTTCTCTTCCATCCTCTAAAACCAAACAAAACACGCTAGTATTAGAACACACTGCWTTAGCTGCCCAAAGATTTGGAGTAAGTGATAGAGCAGCGGCCTTGATTGTTTCATCTGCTTTTCTGGATGCCAAAAAAGCAGGTTTGATAACAGAGGATCAGKCTAGCTTTGYCACTGACAAATGCAAGATTAGTCGGGCAAAAAWAAGTSTTGGAGTTAAGCTCCAAAACACCGAAAGTATTGACTCTGTATATGGGCTGTATTTTGACGGCCGCAAAGACAATACACTCACACAAGTCAGCGAAGGTGAAAAGTACTACCGCGACGCTGTCAAAGAGGAACATTTCTCTTATAGCGGAACCTGGTTCTCATTACTTTGGCCACGTCACCTCTCTTTCCGGGTCAGCTGAGGATGAGACGYAAGCTATATGGCAACATTTACAAGACAATTCAGTTGATGTGGAACATCTAGAAGTTGTCGGTGTTGATGGCACTAACACGAACACAGGTTGGAAAGGTGGAATCATTCGGAAAGTAGAAGAAAGAACAGGTAGGCCATTACAGTGAGTTGTTTGTCTTCTACATTTCAACGAACTTCCATTTCGTGCTCTTTTCGAACACATAGATGATGTCTCACAGAGTCCAAATAGATTCCCTGGCGACATAGGTAAACTGCTCCCTGATTGTGAGAAGTTGCTTGTTGTCAAATTTGAAAGTTTTACATCCTGCCAATTACCTTCTGAGGTTATTAAGCTGACCCAACTTAGCACAGACCAAGTTTATCTCTATAAAATATCAGAAGCTGTTATTTCCGGTCAATGTTCCTCAGATTTACCGTCGATGCATCCAGGTAACATGTGCAAATCTCGCTGACTCACCTGTGCAAATAGAATTCTGAGATTATACATTCTACTGACAAACCAACAAAGGAAATAAAGATTTTGGTCAAGTACATACTTACAGTTTACTCACCTTTGTGGTTCTCAATAAGATTAAACAGTTCGATCAAAGATGGCTCGCGCAATCTCTGTGTTGCAATTCAAAGGTCGAGATACTTACCTGCTAAACTGCGCAAGGTTGTCGATTCATCCATTCAACAGAATGCTTTCTTTGCTCTTCCAGAAATCATTCTCCTTAGTATGATGTCTGGCGAACGGATGGAAGTCAGAAAGTTGGCCCTTGGCCGTCTTCTGGCAGCCAGAGAAGCAGAGTCCGATACTGTAAAAGGAAGGGTTAGATGTAATAAAGTGGCAAAGCTGAATTTCAAAGCTAATAATTATTACGATATGATTAACTGGAAGACTATTACCTTGACTGTTCCACCAGTTCTTTGTTCAGTTTCTAACGAAGAACTCACAAAAGGGCTGTCGTGTAACACTGCAGAGGTATGGAAATTTAGTGAATTCCCCTCTCACACCGTGGCATCGAGGGAACCGTCAAACTTGTGACAGAGGCATCTTCTAAAGTTATTGGCCCCSAATCTCGTGATCGTTTTATACGCTCTACACTGAAATCTAGGCAACAAGTGCCAAAATTTAGTACAAAATGTGATTTTATCAATAAATTTGACATAGATTCAGAGTAAAACAAGACCAATACAGGTTAGCTGAGAGCTGCAACAATTTTCACCTTGCGCTGTGGCGTGCCGCATTTTCGCTCGTATCTCGGGAATGGTTCGTCCTACGGCCATGATCACATACCATTTCGGTAGCAAACGACGTGACAAATAACTTTTGTTTTATACATTTTGAAATTAGATGCGTATTTCAGGCGCTAGGTAGACAATTTCACGATTTTAGGCGAATTTCCGAAATTTCAAGGCCGGAGTTAGGGTTGAAGATGCAATCCGATCTCAAAACAAAAAGGTGCATTGGAATCAGTACTTCCTGACAACTTTTCCGCACTATTACAAATTCCGAATAGAAAAAAGTCCGGAATCGACCCACCCTAGTGTGCAATGCTGCAACTGATACCAAATCAAGAATCATGTGTTATATTTGTGGAGCCACATCTAAAGATTTTAATAATCTGACTCAGAAATTACAGGCAAGTACCAAAGCTTTCGAATTTGAACTATATGACCTGCACGCCAGGAACTGACTTTCGCATTTTACATCTGGCATACAAGTTACCCGTAAAAAAGTTACAACTTTTCATAAAGAGTGTCTTAAAGGTATTTATATGTGTCATTTCAAGTTCAAACACTGCAGCTATCAGACCATAAATTTTCGAAGACCCAGATATTGGAAATATAAGCTATGATAAATTTCTTTTTTTTTTTTAGCGAATTCGAGACACCACGTGCAGTCAGGTCCTTCTCTAACTGACCTTCCTTTTCCTCTGTTTCTCGTCAAAAGAGGACTTTATTTCTCAATTGCCTATTCCGTCCAAAGTAGCACCTGTTGGCAAGAGTTATTCTGCGTTGGATTTCAAGGCTGACATTGTAGTTGGTGTTAGTACTGGTTCCAAGTTAAATGAAATTATCTACGACTTCTAAGTTATGACTCTCAACAGTGGCGTGGGAGCTATGTCGCGAGTGCGACGGCTGTTTGTTTGATGACACGAGATATTTTATCTTGCCCTCGTTTACTACCAGAGCCTTTTGCGTGTAAATGCTCGTTTGAGTTCTGCAGCTCGAATTAGTTTCTAAATATTTCGCCGTCTTTATTGTTTTTGCGAGAGTTACACTCAAACTTTATTTTGTAAATTGCGAAAGTATAAAATGTTCGATTGCATCGAACTTATCTGTTCGTACTTGATATAGCAAATATTGAAAATAAAACTTATTCATATTTATTAAATAAAATTGTAAGCAGCACTCATTTACTATTATTAAATAAAAGCTACAATTAAAATGATTTCAGTTCAGTAGAATACAGCTTTGCTAGGCTCACTGATTCTGAAATACTATGTAAATTAAATTTAAATTGCAAGAATGATGTGTAAGTATTGTGCAGTCGGCAAGTTTTCATATACCCTAATATTAAATAAGCAAACAGCAAGTTGCTGGTTACCTTATTTACATTTGCAATTATACTTACATTTCAGCACGTGAATTTCTRAGGTAAGTTTGTAATTTCCCTCGATTCACAAATTCAATAATCACAAATAACGGGTCCTTGTCGGTGCAACATGCAAGTAATCGGACAACATTGATATGAGGTTCAAGTGACTTCATTACCTGAAATAATGTACAATAAATAAATAATAATGTGCAAATATATTTAGTTAGTTCTAATAATTTATAATAATGAATAGTTTAGTTTGGGCGTATTAGAGAATCACACTAATAACTAAAAAATATAGCATATTAATAATCATGACTCGGACCACTATCGCGTTGCAGTAAAATTTGCACTCGCCTCTGTGCAGCAAAAACCACACTTGAACAAACAGAAATATGCTAAAATCTCAACAGGCAGCTGAAGAATTTTCTGCTCAGTTTGCACTCCTGCTCTCTGATAGTTGTCATCAGCAACTCGGTATAAGGGAACTGTAGGACTGTATTTCAAGCTCCTTATATACAATTGCAAACAAATTAACGAGAGCTGAAGAGATAAGCGAGATGCATTTACCAAAAAGGATAGATGCCGAAATGCGTGAGTACGAAGAGATTGAGAAGCTTACAGACCGGGGTAATGTTCGAAAATTCCACGAAAAGTTGCGTCGACTACCGAAAGGTTTCAAGACCGGCACATGCTCCTATTAAACCCAAACACGTGATCTAGTGGCTGATATTCAGAGCATACTGTTTCTGTGTTCTCCTCCAGCCTGCTGAACGGCAGGGAAAGTGAAACATCTGGACATGATGAAMCCGATTTCCCAATCGATTACGATGGAATAGGTGTCCCCTTTTTTGATTATGATGAGGTTCGAATAGCGAACAACAAAACGTTGGGGTTCAATGGAAAGCCGGTCAAAAGCTATTCAAATACAGCGTCGAAGAACTGTTCCTTGTAGCATATGGTCGGATGAAAGCTTGCAGACTGGAATTTAAGTGTGCTCTGCTAAATTCATAAAAAGGAAGCCTCACAAGCTATAGAGCGTACTGGGCGAAAAATTAAATCAGTCCGTCAACAAACTAATTGTACCTTATCGGTGTAGCTTTAGGTTTGAAATCAAAAACTGATCAGATATTTCTCCTGTCATCAAATAAACAGTCATCGCATTCGCCATTTGGTGTGGTAGATAATTTCATTTGTTTTCTATTATTACTCTTGCCAATAGGTGCTACTTCAAAGTGATCAATTTAGAAGTCAAGTCATCTCTCAAAGACCATTCTGCCATAAGGTGCAGCGGAATGGACTATGATAACATGTGATGAATCTGAAGATTTATGGTCCTTTGTACATTGGCAACGCTCGTTCAGCGAATTAGCGAGATAAAGACTGCGCTGGCTAAGTCATGTCGTTCGACTGGATGAAAAAACAGCAGATCTGAGGATATTCGACGCAGTACCCGCCGGGGGAAATTGAGGAAGAGAAAGACTTTATTTCCGTTGGAGAGACAAGGAGGAGAAGAATTTGGTTAGCCACGTATTGCCTACGCCAATATAGAAGAAGAAGAGTAGTAAATTTCAAATAGAAGCAAATCGGAAAAGGATACATTTTAAAAATACTATGCTTGAACATCATCGAATATTCTTTAATGGAAGTATTTTTACGTTAAATTATGTTAAGGGTTGTTAAATAATAACATTTTCAGTTTTGTCGAGCAAACAAAAAAAAMCGGCTGGCAATAAGAAATCTAACGGCGATGATGAGTCCTCGCGATCAACTGAAATGCACGCAGTCGGCAAATGCAGCAGTAAACGGCAATAGCGCTACAACAACTGCGCTGACAGCAACCACTATGCAGCTACCAGCAAACATCTGGACAGCGAGGAAAAGCAAATGCAAGGTGAGAATGTACCAAGTAAAAAAGGACCATTTGTTCAGATTGGTATTGATCGCTATATACACTGGCGGACAAAAGCTTTGGCACAGCTGATGTTGGTTCTTTCASTGCTCTGTAGTTCCATAAATAAATTAGTAATCTATAAAACAGTTTTCCAATCCATAATTTTATATGCTTGCCCTGCATGGGGCACAGCCGCTGCGTCGCATTTAAAAAAACTGCAAATAAGTCAAAATAAAATCCTTAAAATGATGCTTGATCTTCCTTGGGATTTCTCTACCATAAGACTTCATAATCATTCTAACATCAAACTGATATCRGAACAAATTCAAGTATTGACTGACAGATTCGTKATACGTTGTGCTTTYTCTGACAATATATTAGTATCTAAWCTACATCCATAATAATTTAGTATTTTCACCATTTAGTCGAACAATACAAACTAGTTTGTAAAATTTATAGCAGAGGTTTTTATATAGTAGTACTTTCTTAACTTTTTTTCTATTTAATGAATCTGGTTAATTTTTATTTTATTTTGCAGATTGACTTTTACATTTAACAAAAATGGAACACTGGGACACTGATACAACAATTTAGATTGACCGCTGGAGCTGGAGTCCGTAGTTTCGGTTCAAAGAGGGTATATACGCACGTTTGGCGGCAATCCTCCGAGCAGATGGACCATAATGAGACTTGTAAATAATTTTGCCGAGCATGGGTCAACAGAAGACCTTACCATCGAAACCCTTCAGTTCGAACGGAGGAAACAATCGCTGCTGTAGCTGCTGCCATACAAAACAATCCACGTGTTTCGACAAGAAGCTTATCTGCTCAAATGGGTGTAAGCAGACAGTCCTTACAGTCACTTATGCACAAAGATTTGGACTTACTCCCATATAAAATTCAAATGGCCAACAAACTGAACGCAGCAGACTTGCCGATTCGCTTGGAATTTTGCCAGAAGATGCTTCAAATGATGGAGGAGGATGGAAACATGTTGAACTGTCTTTTCATGTCTGACGAGGCCCATTTCGATTTAAACGGCAACATAAACAAACAAAATTGTCGAATATGGAGTGCTTCCAACACACAGATACTCCATGAGACGGTATTGCATCCACTTTGTGTCACAGTGTGGTGTGCAGTTTCATCGCGCTGCATTATGGGGCCCTACTTCCTCGAAGAAAACGGTCACACCGTTACGGTTACTGGAGACCGTTACTTGAGCATGTTGAGAGAGTTTTTCTATTCAGAATTACGCCGAATGAGAATTTCTTTCAACTCTGTGTGGTTTCAGCAAGATGGTGCAGCTCCTCACATAGCCATAGCCCAACCTGTTATGACCGAATTGCGACGAAAATTTGTTACTACATCTGAGTTTTTCTTGTGGGTTTATTGCAAACAGGAAACCTACAAAGCAAAACCAACAAATTTAAATGAATTAAGGCAATCCATTCGAGAAACAATTGCGGCTATTCCTGTCTCAACTCTCCAAGCAGTAATGAACAACTTTTTGGTAAGATGCCGCACATGCATCAACGAGCAGGGGGGGCATTTAAATTCCATTATATTTAAAACTAATTAAGCTATTGAATGAGCTTTAACATGAATAAAAGAAAAATGAATTCCATACACTGGAAAAAAATTATTTGAGTTTCATAATGTAGCAAAATTCATCAGTCACCCTGTAGGTTCAAATAATGTACTAGTAATATACTCACCTTTATGTTTTCTATCACTATACTTAATTTATTTATGATATATCTGTGGTTGTTTTGTTACAATAATGTAAATGAAAAGCGAATATATTTCATTGATTATTGAAACATGGGGAAAAATGCAAATTTAATAACGAGTATTCAAACCTTTCATTTTTATAACGTTATTTAAACGATTGGGCGTGGAGTTAACCAATTTTCTTGTCACCTCAGATCCAATGTTAGTCCATTCATACTGCAGTACCTCTTTTAATTGGCTTTTACTTGTTACGCTGTGCTTTTCAACACTTCGTCCAAGTTCATCCCATAAGTGCTCAATCGGATTTAAGTSCCTTGATTGAGGAGGAGTTGCAAGAATGTGGGGAACGTGATAAATGATCCACATATGAACATCATAAGCTGTATGTTTGGTCATTATCTTGTTGAAAATAGAACTGATTCCCAAGGTTCAGCTTTTCTACACTTCCTTGCACGTTTTCTTTCAATATGTTTATATATACAGTTTTGTCCATTGCTCCATCCCCAAATACTAAGTTCCCCACGCCTGACGCCGCTTTACATCCATGACTCCTCCACCTCCATGCTTTACAGTATTACTAACATTGCTTTTGTCAAATTCAGTATTTGGCTTTCTCCATACCCGTATTCGACCGTCGCTTTGGAAAATGTTAAATTTACTTTCATCTGTTGTCCCAGAAATCCATACGTCTGCTTTTATACTCTTTAGCAAATTCTAAATGCTTTTTTTGTTAGCCTTGCTGATAAGTGGCTTTTTTCGAGCTATTCTGGATTTGTAACCGTTACGAATAAGCACCCGCCGCACTGTTTTCGGATGTACATGTTTATTTAATTCTTCCTTGAGGTCAGCAGTATTTTTTGTTGAAGTCAGTTTGGGATTTTTTATTTTTATCCTCCTTATCGCCTCCGACCCATTTTACTCTACAGTCACTTGTTGTTGTCAGCAAAATGTAATTGTAATTGTGCCAAAACTTTTGTCCACAGAAATATATTCGTGTTTTATTTAAATTATTGTAACAAAAGAACCACAAACATTTCATAAGTGAAAATAATTAAAGTGATAGTAGCATAAAGATGAGTAAATGACTAGTACATTATTTGAACTTCCCTTTTATATTAACGGATCTATGAAGAACTCAAGAAACCAAAACCAACACCCACTGTGCCAAAACTTCTGTCCGTCAGTGTAAATGTAGAAAGCAAATTGAGTCCAATTAAATCAATACGAAAAAATTTCAACTAGGCACGCCAAATGGTAAACAGCCAGAAATTCCTAATGCCAATAGATTTGCCTTACTGAGCAGAAAACCAAATGATGATGCAAATGGTACCACCACAGCCGTGAATGCCAAACCTCTTTTAATCTATTTGCGAGAGCGTAGCAGAAATTCGCTTGTCTGAAAAGTAAGTACAGCCGCGGTGGAAGAAAATCAGTTCTATTTCTTTTCGGACAAACCCTGTATAGTAGGAATAAACAATTTTCACATTAAGACAGATGTAACAAAAATTCAAACCTGCACTGAAAAAAGTTTCATGTATGTTGTAACAT